CTTCCCCTCTTACCATCCATCTTCCTCTCTTTCTCAGTCGCTCCTTCTTCCTCAGGAGATCATTGACCCCAGGTCAAGAGGTCTTTGACCCCAGGTGAGGCCCGAAATCCGTTGAAGATATATATGGGACCTATATCCAAATATAACCGATCTTGAAAAAAAATTGGCAGAAGTATTTGCGCTGTATCTGATATCTGGTACCAAATATCATTGTTGTGAAGTTCTTATTACGCATGTGAGGGACTTGAACACCAAATCAGGTGAAACATATATCAGAGAGAGAGAAAAGGTCAATGACCCCAGGTCAAGAGGTCATTGACCCCGGTTCAAAAGGTCATTGACCTTTTCTCTCTCTCTCCCTCTCACTCTTCCTCTCTCTCTCCTTCTTCCTCACTCTCCCTCTTCCTCTCTCTCTCTCTTCTTCCTCTCTCTCTCTCTTCTTCTTCTCTCTCTTCTTCTTCTCTCTCTTCTTCTTCTCTCTCTCTTCTTCCTCTCTCTCTTCTTCTTCTCTCTCTCTTCTTCCTCTCTCTCTTCTTCTTCTCTCTCTATCTTCTTCCTCTCTCTCTCTCCTTCTTTCCTCTTCCTCTTTCATTGTCATTGACCCCAGGTCAAGAGGTCATTGACCTATTCTCTCTTTCTCTCCCCCTCTCTCTCTCCCTCTTCCTCTCTCTCTCTCTCTCTTTCCTCTTCCTCTCTCTCTCTCCTCTTCCTCTCTCTCTCCCTTCTTCCTCTCTCTATCCCTCCCTCTTCTTCTCTCCCTCTCCCTCTTCCTCTCTCACTCTCCCTCTACCTCTCCCTTCTACCGCTCTCTCCATCAAGAGGTCATTGACCCCAGGTCAAGAGGTCGTTGACCTCAGGTCAAGAGGTCGTTGACCTCAGGTCAAGAGGTCATTGACCTTTTCTCTCTCCCTCTTCCTCTCTCTCTCTTCTTCCTCTCTCTCCCTCACCCTTCCTCAAGAAGTTATTGACCCCAAGCCAAGAGGTCATTGACCCCAGGTCAATAGGTCATTGACATTTTCTCTCTCTCCCTCTCTCTGCTTCTTTAACTCTCCATCTTCCTCTCTTTCTCTGCCCCTTCTTCTTGCTCCCTCGCTACTTCTTTCCCCAGGTGACCCCAGGTTATGAGGTCATTGACCCCATGCCAAGGGGTCATTGAGAAAGAGGAGGAAAGAGAGAGAGTGAGGGGAAGAGTGAGAAAAGGTGAATGAACCCAAATCAAAGGGTCATTGATCCCAGTTCAAGAGGTCATTGACCCCGGGTCAAGAGGTCATTGAGAGAAAGGAAGAGAGAGAGTGAGAGGACGAAAGAGAGAGGAAGAGAGAGAGAGAAAAGGTCAATGACCCCAGGTTACGAGGTCATTGAACCCAGGTCATTGAGAGAGAGGAAGAGGGAGAGAGAGAGAAAAAAGGTCAATGACCTCTTGACATGGGGTCAATGACCCCTTTGATTAAGAAAGAGGGACAGAGGAAGAGGGAGAGAAGAAAAGAGAGGGAGAGAAGAAGATAGAGGGAGGGAGGGAGGTAGAGAAGAAGAGAGAGAGAGAGGAAGGGGTGGAGAGAGAAAGAGAGAGAGAAAAGGTCAATGAAGAGAGAGAGAGAGAGAGAGAGGGGAAGAGACAGAGACGAAGAGAGAGTGAAATAGAGAGAGAGAGAAAAAGTCAACGACCCCAGGTCACGAGGTCATTGACCCCAGGTCAATGAGAGAGTGAAGAGAGAGAGAGAGAGAGAGAGAGAGGAAGAGAGACAGAGAGAGAGAGAAAGAGAGGCAGAGAGAGAGAAAGGAAGAGAGAGAGAGAGAGAGAGAGAAAAGGTCAATGACGCCAGATCAAGAAGTCATTGACCCCAGGTCAAGAGGTCGAGAGAGAGAGGAAGAGGAAGAGAGCGAGAGAGAGAGAGAGAGGAAGAGGAAGATAGACAGAGAGAGAAAGAGAGGCAGAGAGAGAGAGGAAGAGGGAGAAAGAGAGAAAAGGTCAATGACCCCAGGTCAAGAGGTCATTGACCTTTTCTCTCTTTCTCCCTCTTCCTCTCTCTCTCTCCCTCTTCCTCTCTCTCTCTCTCCCTCTTCCTCTCTCTCTCTCTCCCTCTTCCTCTCTCTCTCTCTCCCTCTTCCTCTCTCTCTCTTCCTTTCTCTCTGCCCGTCTCTATCCCTCTCTTCTTCCTCTCGCTCCCTCTCTTCTTCCTCTCGCTCCCTCTCTTCTTCCTCTCGCTCCCTCTCTTCTTCCTCTCGCTCCCTCTCTTCTTCCTCTCGCTCCCTCTCTTCTTCCTCTCGCTCCCTCTCTTCTTCCTCTCGCTCCCTCTCTTCTTCCTCTCGCTCCCTCTCTTCTTCCTCTCGCTCCCTCTCTTCTTCCTCTCGCTCCCTCTCTTCTTCCTCTCGCTCCCTCTCTCTTCTTCTCCCCCCCCGCCTCTTCCTCTCTCACTCTCCCTCTTCCTCTCTCACTCTCCCTCTTCCTCTCTCACTCTCCCTCTTCCTCTCTCACTCTCCCTCTACCTCTCTCTTCTTCTTCTTCCTCTCTCTCCCTCTTCCCTCTCTCATTGACCTGGGGTCAATGACCTCGTGACCTGGGGTCATTGACCTTTTCTCTCTCTCTTCCTCTCTCTCCCTCTTCCTATCTCTCCCTCTCTCCCTCTTCCTCTCTCCCTTTTCCTCTCTCTATCCTTCTCTTCTTCCTCTCTCTCTTCTTCCTCTCTCTCCCTCTTTCAAGAGGTCATTGACCCCAAGTCAAGAGGTCATTGACCTTTTCTCTCTTTCTCTCTCTCTTTCCTCTCTCCCCCTCTCTATCTTCTCTCCCTCCCCCTTCCCTTTATCTTCTTCTCTCCCTCTTCCTCTGTCCCTCCTTCTTCCTCAAGAGATCATTGACCCCAGGTCATTGAGAGAGAGGAGGAGAGAGAGTGAGGGGAAGAGTGAGAAAAGGTCAATGACCCCAGGTCAAGAGGTCATTGACCCCAGTTCAAGAGGTCATTGACATTTTCTCCCTCTCTCTCTCTCCCCCTTCCCCTCTTACCATCCATCTTCCTCTCTTTCTCAGTCGCTCCTTCTTCCTCAGGAGATCATTGACCCCAGGTCAAGAGGTCTTTGACCCCAGGTGAAGAGGTCATTGACCTTTTCTCTCTCTCCCTCTCTCTTCTTCTCTCACTCTCCATCTTCATCTCTCATTCTCCATCTACCTATCTTTCTCTGTCCCTTCTTCTTCCTCTCTATCTACTTTTTTCCCCAGGTCAAGAGGTCATTGACCCCAGGACAAGAGGTCATTGACCATATGTCAAGGGGTCTTTGACCTTTTCTCTCGCTCTCTCCCTCTTCCTCCTTCTCTCTCTACTTCCTTCCCCAGGTGACCCCAGGTCAAGAGGTCATTGACCCCATGTCAAGGGTTCATTGACCTTTTCTCTCTCTCCCTCTCTGACTCACCCTCTTTCTCTGCCCCTCCTTGTTCCTATCCCTCTATTAACAATAAATCCATTATTTTAATAATAAATCTGAAATCGGGTTAGGAATATTTAGGAGCTATGTCCAAATCTTAGCCGATCTCGATAAAATTTGGCAAAGGTATTTCCGAGCTCTATAAGATATCTGGTGCCAAATATCATTGTTGTCGAATAGATATTACGAATTTGAGGGAATTAAACATCAAATCGGATGAAAACTATATACGGAAGCTATAGCTACCTACTCTTTTCATAATTTGTCGGTCGGTTGAATTCGGTCGGATGTAACAATATCCAGGTATTTTGGACTGATATTGGCCATTTGGTGCACTATTTACCCGAAATCCGTTGAAGATATATATGGGACCTATATCCAAATCTAACCGATCTTGAAAAAAATATTGGCAGAAGTATTTGCGCTGTATCTGATATCTGGTACCAAATATCATTGTTGTGAAGTTCTTATTACGCATGTGAGGGACTTGAACACCAAATCAGGTGAAACATATATATGGAAACTATAGCTATATCGGAACCGATTTTCACTAAATTCGATGTACTTGCTTCTAGATTAAATTTGGGGGGATGTGCCAAAATTCAGGTCATTTGGGCTGATATTGGCCATTTGGTGCACAATTAACCCCAAATCGGTTGAAGATATATATGGGAGCTATATATAAATTTGAACATATTCTCACCAATTTCAATAGGTTTCTTGTTGGGCCAAGCAATTCATCTCAATCGGATAATAAATTCCACCTGCATTTTGTTCACTAAAATACGTGGACAGACGGACTGACATGGATAAATCGACTCAGAAAGTGATTCTTTGAAGATTCTCAAAAGTATTTATGGGTCTATCTCGGTTCCTTCTCCCTGGTACAAACAAATGCACATAGACAGAATATTCTTACCACTTGTGGTGTAGGGTATAAATACTCTAGACCAAATTTCATTATGATCCATAACAACTGCCATCAATGTTGCTTTAAAAAGAAGTTAAAAATCCGGGTTTTGTCGAAAGATTTATAATCCCAGCCTATGTCCATTTATAAGTCTGATAAAAATATATCGATTGTATTTCAATGTGTGAAGTTTGAAAAGAATCGGATGCTCATTTCGGATCAAAATGTTGACCCGTTGTGAGGGAAGTATCAGAAAGAGTGGGCTGTTATGGTCCATCTCCGAACTCAAACTAACTTTGATAATAATATTTCCAATATTGAGTGAAATCAGATGCTCCCTTCGAGAGTTATGGTGGGACGAACACCATCTACAAATGTTCTGTACCTAGGTCCAAAGAGACCTAGTGTCAAAACCCTTTACTTCGTTGGGGCACGTTTTTGCCGTATCAAATCACATAGCCTGTGTATTCATATGGGTGAGGGTATAAAATCCCTCTTCAATTTCGAAAAATTTAGCACATTGCCGGAATTTGCTACAAATGTCCTTGTAATTTCACATCCCAGTTCCATTGAGGTAACAAGAAGCATATGCAAATTACTAAAGCCCCCAGAATGACAACCATGTAACTTTAGAAATTATCTCCTAAACTTTAAAAATATTCGCATTACTTACATCTTTTGCATCCATGCCATTTTCAGATGGAAGTTTAATTTCCTGCTCTATGTAGCTGGTCATACGTTTGCATATTTCCAAAGTTATTGGAAACATTGATTTAATCTGCAAAACAAATTTGTTAAAGTATTTCATTGCATTTAACATCGCAATGTATATTTACTCGGCTTAAAGTCAAACCAGGAATTATTTCCGATCGACGTTGTTTCCATTTTTCACCACCAGTTACGAATGGATTATTGGCAAACAGAAAGTCAGTTTTCTCATCGATCTAAAAGAAATATCCAAGAAAAAAGGTACTGAGTCAAATTGAGTTAAGTAACAGTTTCAAAATCGACTCAGTTCGAAAGGAGCTTTTGTGAAAAACCATTTTATATAAACTTATGCAATTGTAGTCTACTCACCATATTAAAACTTTCATTGTCATGAAAATTCTTGAAATCTTGAACATAAATTCGCCTTGCAAGCTCCGGATTTAATATAAATAATTGTGGCGTACGATTTTTGAATATACCAACGAAATCGTCCGAGTATTTATAAGTACTGGAAAGAGGAAAAATTTGATTTTTTTAAAAATATGAAAATAAAGAAGTAATAAAAATTCAATATTTTAAATAATTCCGGTAAGAAATATGGCCTAAATAATAAAATTACAAATATTTTGAGATACCACTATATGAGAGGTATGGGAAAACCTTATTCACAATTAGCTACCATTTTAAAGTTTAATACAAGATTTGACATAAATAATTGAATAATTTCATTGAAATGGTGGATATCCTGAGGGAAACTTCATATACCAGTAAAACCGTTTGGATAGTGCAGTTAAAATTATCAAAAAAAAGGGGCCGTTATATGGGGCCTTACCAAAACGGGAACCTCTATAAACAATTTTATATTTCAAGAAATGTCATCTACCAAATCTTCTAAAATGCAAAATTTGAAAAAATTTCGTGGGCAAATGTGGATTATCAAAATACCGAATTGTTACATGTACGCTATAAAAAAACGTGGAACCAAATATTCAATGTTAGGCCACTGGGCTAGAATCCATTATGAACTACAAATACCAATTTTTAGGTACCGTTATATGGCGGCTATACCAAAAGTGGACCTATACATACAATGTTGCTCCATCAGAGTTAGAACCCATTACGAACTACAAGTACCAATTTTTAGACAAATCCGTGAAAAAATGTGGCAAGAATCATCAAAACATCTAATATCGTGAGGTAACGTTGTATGGGGGTAATACAAAAACGTGGACTTACAAATACCAATTTTTAGACAAATCCGTAAACAAAATGTGGCGAAAATCATCAAAATGCCGAATATCGGGATGTACCTTTACATGGCGGTTGTACCAAAACGTGGAACGATATATTTCATTTTCAATACCAACCATCCTAGACACAATACAACTTGTTCTGTCAAATTTTGAAGCTCTATGTCAAGTAATGTGGGCTGTATCGTGATTTCAAAAGACAGGCGGACGGATAGACAGACAAATATCGTTAAATCGACTTAGAATTTTATGCTAATTATGAATATATATACTTTATGGTGTCTACGGCGAATATATAGGGATGCTAGAAACGGAATGACAAAGTTAATATACCCTCCATAGAAGGGTGGAGGGTATAAAATAACCAAAGCCATTAGAGAAACTGAACACACAACTTCAGAAAAGAATGAGCAACGGTTCGATGGTATAAATAAAAAAGAGCAATTAAGTCCAGTAAGGAAAGGTCAAAAGTCGAGCGGGCCGACTATATTATACCCTACACCCCTATGCGTATTAAGGAGAGCTCCCGTAACAAAAACAGTTTATAGTGGGAATTTATGTAAAATAGGTTATGGCAACTATTAACCTTATTTGAATGCTTAAGATAAATTTGGGAACCATATCCAAATCTGAACTATATCCAAATAGCATTACTGTATAGTGCATGATATGACTTCGATAAGAATTACATTTAAAAAAATATTTACTGAAGCAATAGATATACCGCACCGAGTTTTACTAAATTGAAAATTTTTGCTGAATCTTAAAAAATCTGTCCAATTTGGGCTGATATGACATATATTGTGGACAATAACCGTAAAATCGGATGAAAATGTATATCGAAGGTATATAACAATCTGACCCGACCTCGATAACATTTGGCAGAGTTATTTTCGAGCAGTAACTGATGTCCCGTATCAAATATTCTTGTTGTGGAGTGCATATTACGCATGCGAGGGACTATAACACCGAATCGGATGAAACATATATATGGGATCTATAACTATATCTGCACCGATTTTCACCAAAATTTGAAGTACTTATTTCAAGGATGAATTCAGCCATTTGGTGCACCATAAATCTGAAATTGGGTAAATATATATCGAAGGTATATGCAAATCTAAACCGATCTGGACTAAATTTTAGGCTCTTATTTCTGAGCTGCATCTGATATTTGATACCAAATATTATATGCGCTCCTCATATTACGCATGTGAGGGACTTAAAACTCCAAATCGTATGAAAGATATATATGAGAGCTATAGCTATTTCTGAACCGATTTTCTCAAACTTTGACGGACTTCTTTGTAAACTAAATTCGTTCGGATGTGCCAAAATTCAGATTATTTGTACTGATATTGGCCATTTGGTGCACAATTAACGTGAAATGGGTTAAATATATATATGGGAACTATATCCAAATCTGAACCGATCTTGACGAAATTTTAGGCACTTTTTTTCTGAGCTGCATCTGATATTTGATACCAAATATCATTCTTGTGGAGTGCTTATTACGAATGGGCGGGACTTAATAGCAATCGGATGAAACATGTGAGCTATAGCTATATCTGAACCGATTTTCTCCAAATTTGATGTACTTGCTTCTAGTCTGGATTTGGTCGGATATTCCAAAATTTGGACTGATATTGACCATTTGGTGCACAATTAACCCGAAATCGGTTGAATATATAAATGGGAGCTACCTCTAAATCAGAACCGATTCTCACCGTTTTCAGTAGGGTTCGTCCTTGGGCTAAACAAATATTTTTTGGAAAATTTCATCTCAGTCGGATAATAATTATGACCTGCATTTTGTTCACAAAAATATATGGGCACGGACTGACATGCATAAATCGACTCAGAAAGTAATTCTATGAAGATTCTCAAAAGTATTTATGCACAAAGACATAATACCCTTACCTACACCACGTAGGGTATACAAATTCCTTGGGAGTTTTTTTGGGAATATGTTAAATGAACATTGTTTAAAGCGTTAACTTAATTCAACCGCTATTCCTTTTTATAGACACTCACACACACAAACAAATAGTTAATTGAAAAAATTGATGGTGTCAATTGAACCCTATTAGTATAGCTATTTAATGTAATATACGTACAGGGGCTCCAAGCGCCAATTAAAGACATTTATCAGCGACACAAAATGAGATGATATGCAGAATATTATCCAAAACAAAAATAAAATTTTCCAATATTATAAAATTTAAAAAATTGAAAATTATTTTATTCTTTCACGGGGTGGATGGTATAGAAGTTCGTCCCGGCCAAATAAAAAGGCATTGTTACTTGATTCAAATCATTTTGTCAGTCAAATGCCAAAATCTCAACAATCAAACATATTTCAGTTGATATCATTTCAAAATGATAAGGTGGGACTTGGTCAGAATACGTTCTTTGAATAAATCTTAATTAAAATCTACATTGAAAGTGAAATTTATTGATTTTAGTTATCTTTGGTGTCTTTCAACGCTATCTCTTTGATTGGCGATGTCTGTTCTCACTAAAACACACTTCATATGTATGTCATCACTATTTGTTTGCTATAGCAATTGATTCACCCTTTTCCATTGTCAGACATACTTATAAATATCACACATATCGTAGACAACATGACGTTTTTTCGTTACAGCACTGGGCAAGTTTCCAAAGTAGATTTCAGGCTTTGGCCCATTGACACCGGAATACCGCCAATAGTTGAAATTCCATCGTAAAAACATGTAAAATAAACCACAAACGGCTGCCATCAGCCATAGACTTATTAGGAGCATCATTTCCGCGCACAATATATCAATTTATTTATTCTGGCAGAGAAAACAATTTCCGACAATTTATTTAAACGATCTGTTCTCGTCGATAGTTGAGTAACAACTAAACTAATACAATGAAATTCAAAGCCGAGTAAGTGTCGTCTGTTATCTCTCTTTCACGGTTTGGGAATGAGCAAGAGACAATCGAAACTCAAAATGAATTGCCCTTTCGTAAGAGGGCCGAACATTGAGTATTTGGTTAGTTCGCAATACTGGAAAATTGGAACCAATTATTTGTTTATTTAAATGAATAGCATTTATTGAACTTAACTGAATGATAGACAAATAATTAAGGGCTACAGACAGATGGAGTCGACCATGAGATACCCTACACCATTATTATGGCCACTTATTTATCGCAGACCAAATCCCTTTCAGATATGAACATTTTAATATAATATTCTACTTTGCTAAAATAACATCGAATCAAAACAGTAAATAAAGTCTTAAAGTCGGGTGGGGCCGACTTTATGATACCCTACACCACTTTGCTAATTTAGTAGAGCTCCACATAACAATTCAAAGTTTTTATGGGAGAATTCAATTATACACGCTATGATTATAATTTTAAGTTCAAAGGACAAAAGATGCCGATGCATTTGTATCTTTTAAATTCGAACCTGTATTGCACATTTGGTGCACAATTAATTTGAAATCGGATAAATATATATATATGGTAGCTATATCCACAACCGAACCGATCTCGGTAAAATTTTCCAAAGATATTTCTGAGCTGTATTTGATATATTTCATTGAATATCGTTGTAACGGAGTGCATATTACGGCTGTGGGTAACAAATACAACAAATCGGATTAACAATATATATGGGAGCTATATCTGAACCGATCTTCACCAAATTTGACATACTAGCTTCTATACTCAATTCGGTCGTAAGTGCCAAATTTCATCCCATTTGGTGCACAATAAAAGGTAAATCGGACGAAGTTATATGTGGGAACTATATCCAAATCTGAACCGATCTCGATAAAATTTAGCAAGTGTATTTCTGAGCTGTATTTGCTATATTTCCCCAAATATTGTTGTTACAGAGTGCATATTACGGCTGCGGAGGACAAAAATAACAAATCGGATGAACAATATATATGGGAGCTATATCTAAATTTTGACCGATTTCACTAGGGTTCGTCCTTGGGCCAAACAAATGATTTGTGCAAATTTTCATCTGGATAGGGCAATAAATGGAACTATGATTTGTTTACCACAACACATGGATAGACGGACGGACGGACAGACGGACGGATCCTTTTGCCTGTTACAAACAAATGCACAAAGACATAATACCCTTACCACCTTGTGATGTAGGGTATAAATATCTTGTCGGATTTCATTCACACATTACCGGATTTCATTGATTAAAACGTTTTTATACCCTACACCACATAGTGGTAAGGGTATTATGTCTTTGTGCATTTGTTTGTAACATGGGAAAGGAATCGAGATAGACCCATAGTTCCTTTTTGTGATAAGCATAGGATCACATTTTGAGTCGATTTATGCATGTCCGTACGACCGTTCGTCTGTCCGTGTATTTTTGTAAACAAAATGCAGGTCGCATTTATTATCCGATTTAGATGAAATTTTCCAAACAACATTTGTTTGGCCCAAGGACGAACCCTATTGAAATTGGTGAAAATCTGTCCAAATTTAGTATAGCTCCCATATATATCTTTATCCGATTTTAGGTTTCCTTTGCACCAAATGGCTTATATAAGTCCAAATGGAGTGAATTTTGCTACATCCGACCGAATTCAGCCTAAAAGCATTTGCTTCAAATTTGGTGAAAATCGGTTCAGATATTGGTATAGGTCCCATTTATTAAGCACCAGATATCAGATACAGCCTAGCAATTTATAGATCATATTTTATCAAGTTCGGTTCAGATTTGAATATAGCTCCCATATATATCTTCATGCGACTTGAGGTTTCTTGTGCACCAAATGGCTAATATCAGTACAAATGGTGAGAATTTTGGCACTTCCGACCAAATTTAGTACAGAAAAAAGTACTTCAAATTTGTTGGAAATCGGTTCAGATATAGCTATAGCTTCCATATATAAGTTTCATCCGATTTTGGTGTTTAAGTCCCTTATATTCGTAATATACACGCAATAAAGTTGATATTTGGTACCAGATATTAGATTCAGCCTAGCAATACATGATTCAAATTCTATCAAGATCGGATCAGATTTGGATATAGCTTCCCTATATATCTTCGTCCGATTTTCGGATTCTTGTGCACCAAATGACTAATTTCAGTCCAAAGTGAGTGAAAAGTTGCACTTCCGAGCGAATCCATTCTAGAAGTTAACATTTAAAACTTGGTGAAAATCAGCACAGATATAGCTGTAGCTCTATATATATATTTCATCCGATTTGGTTTAAGTCTCTAACTTTCAGAATATGCACTCTATCAAAATCATATTTTGTACCAGATATCTCATAGAGCTCAGAAATTCCCATTATAAACCTTTCTTTTACGAGAGCTCTACTAAATATGCATAGTGGTGTATGGTATCATATAGTCGGCGCCGCCCGACTTTTGAGCATTTCTTACTGTTTTTTTAGTATTGCGGCTTATGACTTCTCCGTTTTTCAATAAGGATCTCGCTGCCTTAACCGGTTTGAAGCTTTTGATGACATTCTTTACGATAGATTCCATACGATAGAAACTGTTGATGCTTTACCAGTTCCAATCCCTCTAGCTTTCAATACATCTACGTGTGTCGTGATGCTCGGCAGGAAGTTGTGCCCATCAGCTATTATTTGTGATCAGTTTTTAGCTACTATTTGTTATCACTTTTTTAAGCATGAATTATCGAAAACTTTAAAATGGCCATAACTCCTTAAATATTGAGTTTTCGGCGTTCTAAGCTTCTATTTGTGATTAGTTATTTGGGCATGAATTATCGAAAACTTCAAAATGGCCATAACTCCTTAAATATTGAGTTTTCCGCGTTTTTAGCTATTATTTGTGATTACTTTTTAAGCATGAATTATCGAAAACTGTAAAATGACCATAACTCCTTAAATATTGAGTTTTCGTCGTTTTTAGCTATTATTTGTGATCACTTATTTAAGCATGAATTATCGAAAACTTTAAAATGGTCATAACTCCTGAAATATTGAATTTTCGGCGTATTTAGCTATTATTTGTGATCAGTTATTTGGACATGAATTATTGAAAACTTTAAAATGGTCATAACTCCTTAAATACTGAGTTTTCGGTGTTTTTAGCTATTATTTGTGATCAGTTATTTGGACATGGATTATCGAAAACTTTAAAATGGTCATAACTCCTTAACTATTGAGTTTTCGTTGTTTTTAGCTATTATTTGTGATCACTTTTTTAAGCATGAATTATCGAAAACTTTAAAATGGTCATAACTCTTAAATATTGAGTTTTCGTCGTTTTTAGCTATTATTTGTGATCACTTTTTTAAGCATGAATTATGCTTAAATATTGAGTTTTCGGCGTTTTTAGCTATTATTTGTGATCACTTTTTTAAGCATGAATTATCGAAAATTTTAAAATGGCCATAACTCCTTAAATATTGAGTTTTCGGGGCTTTTAGCTATTATTTGTGATGACTTTTTTAAGCATGAATTATCGAAAACTTTAAAATGGTCATAACTCCTTTAATATTGAGTTTTCGTCGTTTTTAGCTATTATTTGTGATCACTTTTTTAAGCATGAATTATCGAAAACTTGAAAATGGATATAACTCCTTAAATATTGAGTTTTTGTTGTTTTTAGCTATTATTTGTGATCACTTTTTTAAGCATGAATTATCGAAAACTTTAAAATGGTCATAACTCCTTAAATATTGAGTTTTCGTTGTTTTTAGCTATTATTTGTGATCACTTTTTTAAGCACGAATTATCGAAAACTTTAAAATGGCCATAACTCCTTAAATATTGAGTTTTCGGCGTTTTTAGCTATTATTTGTGATCACTTTTTTAAGCACGAATTATCGAAAACCTCAAAATGACCATAACTCCTTAAATATTGAGTTTTCGGCGTTTTTAGCTATTATTTGTGATCAGTTATTTGGACATGAATTATTGAAAACTTTAAAATGGTCATAACTCCTTAACTATTGAGTTTTCGTTGTTTTTAGCTATTAATTGTGATCACTTTTTTAAGCACAAATTATCGAAAACTTTGAAATGGTCATAACTCCTTAAATATTGAGTTTTCGTTGTTTTTAGCTATTATTTGTGATCACTTTTTTAAGCATGAATTATCGAAAACTTTAAAATGGTCATAACTCTTAAATATTGAGTTTTCGTCGTTTTTAGCTATTATTTGTGATCACTTTTTTAAGCATGAATTATCCTTAAATATTGAGTTTTCGGCGTTTTTAGCTATTATTTGTGATCACTTGTTTAAGCATGAATTATCGAAAACTTTAAAATGGTCATAACTCCTTAAATATTGAGTTTTCGTCGTTTTTAGCTATTATTTGTGATCACTTTTTTAAGCATGAATTATCCTTAAATATTGAGTTTTCGGCGGTTTTAGCCATTATTTGTGATCACTTTTTTAAGCATGAATTATCGAAAACTTTAATATGGCCATAACTCCTTAAATATTGAGTTTTCGGCGTTTTTAGCTATTATTTGTGATCACTTTTTTAAGCATGAATTACCGAAAACTTTAAAATGACTATAACTCCTTAAATATTGAGTTTTCGGCGTATTTAGCTATTATTTGTGATCACTTTTTTAAGCATGAATTTTCGAAAACTTTAAAATGGCCATAACTCCTTAAATATTGTGTTTTCGGCGGTTTTAGCCATTATTTGTGATCACTTTTTTAAGCATGAATTATCGAAAAATTTAAAATGACCATAACTCCTTAAATATTGAGTTTTCGGCGTTTTTAGCTATTATTTGTGATCAGTTATTTGGCCATGAATTATCGAAAACTTTAAAATGACTATAACTCCTTAAATATTGAGTTTTCGGCGTTTTTAGCTATTATTTGTGATCACGTTTTTAAGCATGAATTATCGAAAACTTTAAAATGGCCATCACTCCTTAAATATTGAG